AAAAAAATATTAAATCTCAAATAAAATTTATCAAGATTAGGAATATAATATATTATTATAAATCCATAAAATTTAGATGGTTAAGATTCAAATCTCCTCATAAGTAAACATATTATCTATTTCGAATGTAACTATGACTCCCGTTCTAAATAAGTCTTTAAACTTGTGAACATTCTAATTGCATCCTCAACTATGATCCTTTTTTAAAATTATTCTCCAGACTTTTGAATATTCCAATTTCATCCTCAAACTATGATTATTTTTTTAAATTAGTCATCAGACTTTTGAATATATTTTAATTCCATCTCAAAATTCATCTAAATATATAATTAGTTTCAACCATAGTTTAACTTAAATCTTATTTTTTTTAAACATGTAATAATATAACTTGGGCTAACGGTTTTATTAACAAGGGATGTGATTAGTATATATGTATAATTTGAGATGAAATTGGAATGTTGAAGAAGTTGAAATGCTCAAAAGTTTAAGAATTAATTTAGAATGATAGTCATAGTTTAGGTATATAATTGAATATTTAAAAGTTTAAGGATTAATTTAAAAAGAGAGTCGTACTTGAAGACTAATGAACTCTAATTTAAATAATGAGATGTATGGTGGAAAGAAAAGGAAAGCCGTGAACCAAGGAATTCCGAGGGTGAAATGGAGCGCCATCCTTGTTTATATTTGCGATGCTTATGGCTCATGCGTCCATAAAACCCAACTGCTGAGGAAAGCGAGGAAGAATCTTCTTACTTTTTGTGTCGGATTCGGACAACGTGATAATTCAGCCATCAGATGCCAAATAAATACTTATTTAAAACAAAAGTTTGATATTTTAAATCTGAGCTAATTTAAAATATATAATCACACAAAAGCGGAACATAAAATCTGGAAAGCGTTGAAAAGTAAGTCAAAGCTGATAGGCGCTGCACGAATTGTGGTACTAAACTGGGTATTAATTCAAGCATTTAGAAACCAACTGCCTAATAAGCTCATGTCCCCACGAGGAAGGTGCAACTCCGATTCTTCAATCATCTAAGCAAAATAGTTTCTTGCCTTTCTTTTGCTCGAGCATAAATATTTGAATGTTCCAGGCTCAAGGTCAGTGTGACATAATACATCTGAATTGCTTTTTTAAATCCATGGTGCTGGACACCGACAATCGCCATCTGCTGCTTATTATTAGCCTGTCCGTTACTTTTGGAGAAGGTGGTAGGAAAATGGCTTGAAAATCAAAACCCCAAATTTCCACCAATAGAGCACTACACTAATATCAATATCAAATATCATTAATAGAATAAGACATTACAATTCCATGGATTCCAACCACTTCAACCTGGAAAACAATCACCTAACTTAACAACATACGGTTCCTAAAATTCATTTTCATCGTCATCTTTCAATACCTTAAAATTCCTTGAGCAATTTCCGGACCTGTTCAAGAGTAACAAAAAGCACCACCGTAAATGGTCCCTGTCTTGAGATTGTGGGTATAACCCTTTATACAACGCCATGGGTCCTTCAGCCTTCACCGTCTTGATGGCACAATCCAACGCCCCCGCATACGGCGGCTTCTGTCCGGGCTCCACCTTCATGTTCATGACCCTTGTTTTGATCACATCAACAGGATTTGACGCCACAGACGCCACAAACCCGGCTGAAAAACTCGCCGCCACGTGTGTTCCGAGCCCATCTTTCATCAACCCATTTTCCAAAATCGTTTCTTTGATCTGATCGTAGGAGGCCAGCTGCGATGCCGTCACCAACATAGCCCGATTCACGGTAAGCGACGAGCCACGCCACAAGGAGGTCACGCCTTCTTGTTTGCTCATGCGAGTGATGGCGTCCACAACGCTAGTGTAATTACGTCGTTGGGATACAGGGAGGCGTCCGTCGGCTTGCATCCGAACCATGGCCACGTCGGCTGGGTTCCCGACAGCAGCGCCAATCCCGCCGGCGATTAATCCGGCGCCGATTTGCGGGAGAGAGGCATGGTTTTCGTCTCCTCATCGGTCCATTTTGTTTGAGGATGTCGTAGAGTCCCATGCGGGTGGTGGAATAGAGGGTCTGGCGGAGGACGGTGGCAGAGACGCCAGAAAAAAGAGCAGCAACGCCTTCGGTCTGGAAGATCCTGATTCCGGTAGCGACTGGTCCAACACGCGCTGCCGTGGGTGGCGGCGGAGGAGAGATGTGGATCGTGGAGGAGGTGTTTTGAAAGGCTAAAGCAGGGCGGAGAGTTTGAACAGCCGGATTGGGGACATGGCTTTCCCCCTGGAGTTGCATTCGGACTTTGATTAAATCAAGAGGGTGGGTTGAGCATCCGGCGACGATTGAGGCAATTCCTCCCTCCACAAAACCTTTGACTCCCATCTCGATTCTCTTAAACAAAAGATAATCTCTTTACCAAAATTTGCTTGTCAACCAACAAGCCAATTACAAAAATAATGAAGAGAAAATAATTATGATCCACAAAATCAAGAAAAGGAAAGAGATGAAACTAGTGAGAGCTAGGGTTCTTCTCACTGGAAAGCAGGGGATGAGAATGGAGAACAAGGGCTCTTGTAGAAGAGTATTTATAGCGGGGGGTAAGAACATGGGAGGGATACTTCTTTGGACCGAGCTCTTGTTGTTTTTACGCGTTTCAAATTCAATTCATTAAAGTCAATAATTTCCCACAACATTGGCGGAGAGATGCAAGTTGAGGCCAATTTGAATATAATTTAGGGTTTATTTATTAGATTTATATTCTAATATTTACGTAATGCTGTCGTGCATGGCCTTTGAAAGAGGTGAAAAGCAATTGAAGATCTTCGTTTTTTTCCTTCTTTTTCTGGCAAGGCTTTTCACCCTCTAGAATATTATTTAATTGGTAGGTTGAAATATTATGGGCAAACTTAAAGTTTGATCACTTTTTTCAAATTTAATCACTTTTGATAATTGAAATTGAAACAATTATGTTTCAGCCACTTAACCTTGTGGTCGTGAGATTGAGTCCCACGGTGCGCAATTTATAATTCTGACTGCCGGAGGTCTCCCACAGAAGCTGCTCTCAACCTGGCGTTGGGGACATCCTACTAACCTACCTCCCCCTTACCCCATTACATATGGGAATAGGGTCAACTAATTTTACTTTAAATATCATTAAACTTTGTCTATTTATTCGTTTTTCACATTTAATCATGTCACTTTGTTGTTAAGTTACTAACGAGACAATGTCATGATTAATGATGGTTGATGTAGCATACCACACACAAAACGACGTCGTTTTGGTACAATTGTTCTGGTACCTAAAACAACATCATTTTAGACACTGAACTTAGGAGTGTATCGATTTTGTCATTAAATTTTTAAACAATTTACTTTTTTTGGCACTACACTTTCCGACAAGTGCTGACAGCAAATCACCGATCGTCTTTCGTGGCCGAGTCGGTACCAAAATATTCATATTTTACTACTAATTCTTCTCATATGATTAATTTTCTACGAAAACCACTCAAATTTGATGAAATAACTTAAGTATAAGTTATGGTGAAACTAACACAATTAATATGCTTAGTCTGGTGACTGTGTTTGGCCCCTTTTAGAGAGGATCTTGGATTGATTCCCACTAACTTAAAAATTAAAACACTACATTATATATAATTTAAAAAAATAGTTAAGTGACTAAAACAAAAATGTAAGAATAAATGGATTATTAAATAGGTCGTTTAGCCAATTAAAATTTTAGGGTACGTATGGAATGGAAGGGGGAAGGTTGACCCACGTCCAAGTTGAGTATGGGGGGATTCTGCAGTGTTATAGAAACCTTCCACGTGTACGTATTCAATACTTGACCAAGTTGTGCATATAGGTGAGGCAGTCTGGGCCCAACTAGTAAGTTGACTTCAAAATTTTATAACTTAACAACCCGTCGCCTGAGAGATAGGATCGGAATAGGTGGTCAGATTTTAATAGGCCTGGGTCTGGCCTACAATGATTTTTGTAGGTTTGAGCCTGACCTGTGACCTGTCAAAGGCTTTTATTTAGGCCTGACCTAATCTGTTTAAAAGCTTGGCATGTTTAAAAGCTTGTTTAATAATAAATATTTAATATTTTCAGTTTAGTCATTAATTTTAGAGTAAAATCCCTATTAAGTCACTCTAACTTAGTGCATTTTACAAAGTAGTCACTCTAAATAGGCCGACCTATCAGACTTATAAGGATTTTTAATAGGCCTAAGTCTGGCCTGTTTAATTAAATAGGCTTTTAAAAATGTCTGACCTGACCTTTTTATTAAATAGGTCAGGTCAGGCCAGACTTTATACAGGTCAGGCCGTATGCCCCTGTAGGCCGGCCTGGCCTATTCCGACCCCTACTGAGATATTCGAACTCTCCCATGTACTTAGCAGGCACACGCCTTAACCACTCGGCCGAAGAATGTTTAAACTTTCTTTAAATACTCATTTTGAAAAGAATTTATAAATTAATAGAATATAAAATTTTTAGGACTAAAATTATTATAATATTATACCACATTAGATGTTTGTTTCACTATTAACTACAAATGATATGTTTATAGTAATTTTTAGTTAAACAACTAAATTGTAACTTTATGAAATGATCCATTTATAACTGAATTAATACTTAATGACATAATTATCAGAGAATAATAATATTTTTTTGGTTGTAAAGAAAATAATAATATTTCAGTGACTTGGGTGTATTTTACCATAAAATATAACGTTAATATAAAAATAATAAAATAAGTTGCTACATTGGATCTGCCGAGTGATTTTTTGTCATTCAAAAGGGAAATAACTGCCATTCCCTCCTATACAGATTGCACCTAACGGTCATTTGAAGTTTGGTAGTTGAAGCTTTGAACTTGGAACAGAGAAACAACTGGAAAGAAGCACCCGATTCTTCAAACACGCTTCGACTTGTCCAAATAAGGTCTATCTAAAACAAAGATTTATTAATCCTTCCTTCCATTCCACCTTCTCTTCAAATCTTCAACCTCCTCACCGACAATCAACTTGTTTTTTAAACCATGCTTTCTTTTGGGGGCTCATAATTTCATGTAATGTACTCACCAACCTTATTCTCCATCCATTTCTATTCTTACTACCTCTTTTTCCTCCTATGGGAAGCTTCAAATTCTTCAGTTTTTTCAGTTTCGGAACCCGGTTTGAATTCCTCCCTTCTTCCAACCCTGTTCATGAAAGCCTTGTCAATGGCAGTAATAGTAACACCAATCGTCGCCACCGTGCTGGGTTCTTTTCGAATCCGGTTTTCGGGTTTCTCCAGCGTTTTAAGTCGAGAGGTGAGTTGTTGTCGTCGCCATTAAGGTCTAATAGTAGTTTTAATTTTGGTTTTGTGACAGTGTTTCTGACTTTGGGTTATTTGTTTGAGATATTTAGTGAAGATCGATGGGGCTTCAAAGACAGAAGAAGAAGAAGAGAAGGTTTATTCTTGGTTATATGCTTTGGCAAAAACAGAAAGATATTTGGCTTTCGAATATGTTCGATCCACCGAAAGAGGTTAGCTCGCTTTCTTATTGAATCGAAGACAGTAATCTCCTTGATCAATTCACCCATTTTGTGAGGGATAATGGATGCTGACATACTTTTGGTTTTGAGTAGGCTTGAGCTTTACTGAAGCTGAGAGGAGATTGAAGGAAAATGGCTCAAACATTCCTCTTGAATACACATTTCCAAGCTCTTGGCATCTTCTGTGGAACGCCTTTTTTCATCCTTTCAACATCATTCTTATTGTGTTGTCAGCACTCTCATACATAACCAGTGATAATCCAAACGGATGCATCATGCTTGTATTGGTTTTCATTAGTGTCTCCCTTCGATTCTATCAGGTGCTTCCTGTTTAAGTTGCTCAATCGACCGAATGGTCCACGAATTCGGCTTCAAACACGGTTTTATATAACTATAATTTCTATGCAACATCCAGGAATATAGCAGTTCAAAAGCAGCCATGCAACTTTCAGAATATGTAAGATGTCCGGTTAAAGTTCAAAGATGTGCAGGGAGAGTGGTTCAGACCGAACTGATTGTTCAAGTTGATCAAAGAGATGTTGTTCCGGGAGACATTGTCATTTTTGAGCCCGGGGACCTTTTCCCTGGTGATGTGAGACTATTAACTTCCAAACACCTTGTTGTAAGGTACACCAGCTTCAAATTTTCCGCTTTCTTTGTCTCAAGAATCAAGATTTGAATGTATTTTCCTTTTGCTGGTAATTCGTGAAATCCCTTAATTTACATCCTTGCTTCTTCGACAGTCAGTCCTCGTTAACCGGAGAATCTTGGCCAACTGAAAAAACAGCTGGTGTCAGAGAAGATAGAAGCACTCCGCTGCTAGAATTAAAGAATATTTGCTTCATGGTAATCTTTTGTTCCTTCTTGTTGTTTTATCATGAACAATTGCAGGTCATTGAATCATTTGCGTTTTTGAATATTAAACAAGTATGGGAGGAACTTCAGTTTAGCTAACATCATACCGTTGTCCACTAGTATTTATGTAACCAAGATTATTACCGAGTAATAGGCTGAGGTATATACTGTTGCAATTAATATTTCAGGGGACAAATGTGGTATCAGGTACTGGAACTGGTTTGGTTGTCTCCACTGGATGCAAGACCTACATAAGCACCATATTTTCAACTACTGGAAAACACAAACCAGAAGATAGTTTCGAGAAGGGTATTCAGCAGATATCGTATGTGCTTGTTGGCATAATGCTTCTTGTAGTCACAATCATGATACTGGTAGAGTACTTTACCTTCCATGATTTTAGTGAGAGTACTCTTTTCGGGATATCGGTTGCATGTGCCCTTACTCCTCAAATGCTTCCCCTCATCATAAACACAAGTCTTGCAAAGGGTGCACTTGCTATGGCAAGGGAGAGATGCGTAGTCAAAAGCTTGTCTGCTATACGATATGGGATCCATGTAAGTCCAATTTCTCTCATGAAATATAGAGAAAGACTTAAATCATTCCATGCAGATCATTGTTTGAAGTGTATTAAATTGACATTATAAACGAGAATAAAACCAGATGATTATAGCGTGTGAAGAGTCTCATGTTCTATGTTTTTACATACTAGGTTCATAAAGTTTTTCATCTGAAGCATAATGCTTCGACATTTTGTTAGTTATATTCAACTTTGCCTTTTGTTTTGGCAGGGATATTCTATGCATCGATAAAACCGGGACGCTCACCATGAACCGTGCAATCATGGTTAATCATCTGGACAGCTGGGGTACTCAGAGAGAAAAGGTCTTACATTTTGCCTTCTTGAATTCTTACTTCAAGAGTGAGCAGAAATATCCACTAGACGATGCAATTTTGGCATATGTGTACACAAATGGTTACCGATTCCGACCATCCAAATGGAGAAAGATTGATGAAATCCCTTTTAGTTTCATAAGAAGAAGAGTATCTGTTATTTTGGAAACAGAATCTAATCGAGAAGGCAGATATAGCGAACGCATTAGCAGATTCATGATAACAAAAGGAGCACTTGAAGAAGTGGTGAAAATTTGTTCTTATGTGGATGATGTAGATAGGGGTGAGATTACAGCTTTCTCTGCAGAACACCATCATAGGATCTTAAATGTGACGGAAGAACTTAGCAATGAGGGATTAAGGGTTATAGGAGTTGCAATAAAGAATCTGCAACAATCAGTGAGTTCAAATATCCATTAAACCATTGCCCTTTTCTTATTTTCTTGCAATACCTCTTTCTGTTTTACTTGTTCCATGAATGATTTTTCAACCAAGAAGAACCAATGCTTAAACCCTTGAATGTAGAATAATTTTATGTCATGTTGCAGGAAACAAGTGAGCAAAACATGGAAAACGAGGATGCTGTTGAATCAGAAATGGTGTTCCTCGGCGTCATAACCTTCTTTGACCCGCCTAAGGACTCAGCAAAGCAAGCTCTATGGCAATTGGCTGAGAAGGGAGTAAAGGCAAAAGTACTAACCGGTGATTCATTGTCGCTGGCAATAAAAATTTGCCAGGAAGTTGGCATCAGAACCACACATGTAACAACAGGACCAGACCTGGAGCAACTGAACCAGGATGCCTTTCACGAGAGAGTGAAAAAGGCAACAGTTCTGGCTCGTCTCACTCCTTCTCAGAAACTGAGAGTAGTACAGTCATTGCAGACAGACGGTAATCATGTTGTTGGATTCTTGGGCGATGGCATAAATGACTCACTCGCGTTAGATGCTGCCAATGTAGGTATATCAGTTGATGCAGCAGCATCGGTTGCAAAAGACTTGGCTGATATCATTTTACTAGAGAAGGATTTAAACGTTCTTGTTGCCGGAGTTGAGCAAGGTCGTCTCACATTCGGCAACACAATGAAATACATTAAACTTTCAGTCATTGCTAATCTAGGGAGCGTTCTTTCACTCTTCATTGCAACACTTTTACTCAGATTTGAGCCATTGACCCCGAAGCAACTCCTTGTGCAGAACTTCTTGTATAGTGTAGGTCAGATTGCAATTCCATGGGACAAAATGGAAGAAGATTATGTCAGAATTCCACAAAAATGGTCTACCAAAGGTTTGCCGATGTTCATCCTATGGAACGGTCCCGTCTGCACACTCTGTGATGTAGCCACTCTTTTGTTTGTCTGGTTTTATTACAGTTCTGGTAGCCAGTTGAGTTCAACTTTCTTCCGTTCAGCTTATTTCATTGAAGGGCTTCTGATGCAGACCCTGATTTACCACTTAATCAGGACGGAGAAAATTCCCTTCATTATGGAGATTGCTTCATGGCCTGTAATTGCTTCAACACTCGTGATTTCTGCCATTGGCATTGTTGAGCAAGGTCGTCTCACATTCGGCAACACAATGAAATACATTAAACTTTCAGTCATTTGCTAATCTAGGAGCGTTCTTTCACTCTTCATTGCAACACTTTTACTCAGATTTGAGCCATTGACCCCGAAGCAACTCCTTGTGCAGAACTTCTTGTATAGTGTAGGTCAGATTGCATTCCATGGGACAAAATGGAAGAAGATTATGTCAGAATTCCACAAAATGGTCTACCAAAGGTTTGCCGATGTTCATCCTTGGAACGGTCCCGTCTGCCACTCTGTGATGTAGCCACTCTTTTGTTTGTCTGGTTTATTACAGTTCTGGTAGCCAGTTGAGTTCAACTTTCTTCCGTCAGCTTATTTCATTGAAGGGCTTCTGATGCAGACCCTGATTACCACTTAATCAGGACGGAGAAAATTCCCTTCATTATGGAGATTGCTTCATGGCCTGTAATTGCTTCAACACTCGTGATTTCTGCCATGGCATTGAAGGCAATGTAGGAAGAAATTTTCTTCATTGTGCATTACTGAGAGGAAAGCACATACTTTCCATAGTTTTGACTGCTAAACATCATTAAAAACATGATTTGAACAGTTGCCAATGTTTTACGGACCTGCAACCAAGATGATGCAATGGAACTAAAAACTTGGGTTATTATATAAATCGGTACTTCACTTAGAAGGAATTCTCAAACTAATCTCAAAATTGAGGGAAAAAAACCCTCAATTAATATTTTTATGTTAATGCGATATTTCAGCAATAACAGTTTTTCCATGTGACACTTAATAGGATTATCATTTTGATTGATCAATATAATATTTATTCAGAATTTTTTTAATTTATTGACAACACCATCTACTCTATAGACAGCTACTTGAATCCAAAACCTCTAAAGAAAATAATATTCTCTTTATCACTAATACTGAGTTAGTATATATATATATACACGTCAGTACATATTAAATTCATGTCAGTTAAGAAAAGTTACTAAGTTAACGTATGCTAATATAAAATAATAAAGGTTTTTAAGAGAAGAAAGGAAAATTATATTTTTGTCCATTAATTTGATAACCGAGGTTTAGTGGGAATTGACGCAACAAAGTCTCAGAGCAGGCCAATGGCAAGATCAACGTTTAATTTTTTTGAAATCCACACTTTTGACCCTCCCTACATTTTCCGATTTCTTCAATTCAATCCCTGAATCTTGTAGAAGTTCTGATTTTCCCCTAAGAAACTTCATTCTCTCATATTAATCCTCAAAAATTCAAACTTAGTTAATATCCGTTAAAACTTCTAGCTCGGATTTTAGGTCCTAACAACTCCCCAATCTTCAAAGAAAATTCATCATTGAAATTTATCGACTTACTAACAAATTTATATCATTGTACTCACAAAAATTTTATACAGTCATTCAATTCTTTCCGTATTTTCAAATCAATTCTAAAGTTCACAGTATGTTATGGACTCTGATTTTTCGTTATACATGTCAATGGTCTTCTCATCTGATATCCTCTAACATCTTGCGCAACTTACATGTAATGTTGATATTCCTACTTATGCTCTTTATAAGGTTTTAAGATATGACTATAGGAGTTTCTTTCGAACTTAAAACTCAACTATGTTTTTCAACACCATGACAAAACCCTAAACCTGTAATCTCTCATACAAGTTATTAATTATCATTACTTAGGAGGGGCGACATTAGACTCTAAAAAATTCTATCAAAATAATTTAAGACACACGTGCATGGTGCCCATAATCTTTTTATTTCAAATCATGCATGCAAAAACTTTTGTTTTATTTTTATTTCAAAATATAAATCCAATTCATATCATATTAAGGAGTGGTGGTGACTAATTACCATCTATATGAGTATTATTATAAACATTATTATTATATATAGGCATATAGCTACTCAGCTCTGCTTCGATGGAAAGAAAATCACATATATCATTCTAGTATATTTGATAAATCATATTTAATAAACATCAAAAGAAGTGGTTTGCGTACCGTACGTTGCATGTGAGGGCTAAAATCGTGGACTTCTGTGAACATCAGTGTGGGTTCGACAGACCCAAAGGTGATGAACTTAACATCCATCTACACTATCACACTAACCTGTAATGCAAAAGATGTTTTGTCCATACGACTATGTCAGGAAGCTTCTTGGAAGCTAAGTGGAAATTTTTTTTCCCGCATGTTGTCTATAATACACAACTCAAGCAATAATCATCAACTATTTTATTTTCTTTTCTTTTCATAAAAGAAATTCCTACATGCATTTTTCTGAAGCAGACTATGGATGTAAGAAGCACTCAAATCACCTGGAACATCAAGGTGTTTGCCCTTCGTGTCTTAGAGAGAGATTATCTCGTCTTACTTCCGTTTCACACAAAAAAGCTTCAAGGGTTGCTTTGTCACTGTATTTTTGTCCTGCTGACTCAAACTATGCCTCTCCGGCTCAACATCGAATTTTCCATAACAGAAACAGCTTCATGGGGATGTCGTCGTCTTCCACGCTGAAGGTTGGTACCAGCAATGGTTTGAAGAAGAGTAAATCGATTGCTTCTGTACCAAGAAACTTGGATGATCATGAGGAGGCTAGAATTGGGAAAAGTAAAAAAGGGTTTTTGTCTAAGTGGATACATTTACCTTTCAAGGAGAAATAGGATGTCTGAGGCATTCACCAAGTATGAGACTAATGATGGGAAGAGTGAAATAGTATTCTAGGATTCGGTTTCAATAAATTTCTGCATTTTTCTCTTTCAATTGTTACATATTCATGGGATGAGAAAGAAATTTTAAGATTGAATCCTGTGTTTCTTGTATTTTGTAAATGTTGCTTCTTTCTTTAATCTTGAAGAAGAAACCAAAACAGGTTTGGGTCTTTGAATCTACTTTTAAAAGCTGATGTCCACGCAATCCTGAAAATCTTCATCATTCGAATGGGGGTGTAGCTTTTCAGATGCCGGAACTATCTTCAAAATAGAAATGCTTTTAGATTTTGTCACATCAGAATTACACTATATATCACTTAAGAGCTGAAACGTGTTCAGTTCAAATTAATTTTTTTTTTTTTTGAAGATTCAAATTACAAAGTTAGCTTTGAATCATGGGGAATGATTTTTGCCCTATTTTATTAGTCTGAAATTTCCAGCTGCTGACTCCAATACAGCAAAAACATGTTCCCTTTACTCCTACCTCACGACTGCAATGGACCATTTGATCTGTATATTCCGTATCACAGTTTCCAAACATTTTTCTGAATGGATTAGTATCATCGTGTAGAACCCTTGATCTTGATTTCTGTGTCGTCCTCATTTTCATTCTCATCACTGTGGTCTACTGACGGCCGTTTCAATCTCTGGAATATTTCGTCCAGGGATTCAGAATCAGATGAGCGATGTGGGGAGTAGCGAGTATGCCTTCCTGATTCTGGCGTAGAGGGAGAAGCTTTCTGGCTTCAATATTTGCTTTAAAATTTTGAAAACTGGATCTCTTGACCTCCATGTTGAGGCCAATCCAGAGGGTGCCCCTCCCTTTTGGCTACCAGAATGTGAGTTGCTTGCTTCAAGAAATGAGACCTTACCAGAGGTGGTTTATTCTCCATCGGTTTTGGTTTTGACATTTCTCGACCCTGCTCTCTCATGGCAGCATACTTGTTGCTGATGACTTCTCTACTCGAGACATATTTACGGGCTTCTTCTTTCATAGGAGTTGAGGGAGATCCCTTCACACCACCAGTGGCTGAAATGGTTGCTGCCTTCATTTCTACAACAGTATGATCCTGAGCATTTCACATCAAGTTAGAAACTGACATAAACGTAGGCTCTTTCTTTTTGATAGAAACTCAACCAAAGGCTTTAGATGAAAAAGAAATAAAACATATTATAGACTAGGAACAGACACGCAATTCATAAGATCTTTGATTAGTTGCACTATAAAAAGACTATCTTTTAAGAGTGATTACATACTGCAATATTGTTACCATGCTCAATATCAGCACCATTGAAATTCCTCGCCAATGGAATTACTGTTCGCCAACCTGGTATCCTTGTTCAAGCCAAGATCGCTCTGTAAAGTGCAAAAACTTTTATTAACAGCTGGTCAAATATCTAAATAATTCTTACATGACAGTTCGTCATCTCTTTAAGGAGTCACATACACATCTAAGCTGTTGACTTGCTTTCATCATGAAATTCACAAGCGAGTGATAAACAAATAATATAAAAAATTGAACTGTTGACTATTGTAGTGTCCATCATTCCCTACAAAAATGGTGGATTGTGAGGAAAGTTAAGTCCTTAAATATTTATTTCACTATCGTAACCTTAACTCAGTAATGAAGTGTCACCATGAACAGAAAAAGCACGAGTGCACGACCACTAACTAGAATAAATAAGTCATATCATGCAATGCCCAATACACTTTTAAACTGTGCATTTCAGACAAGAGTATTTTATAGTGATTAATATTTAGTAGAATGAAGATTGGTATCCTTACCCTTTTCCAGAATAATTAATCCTGAGGGATTGAATCCATCCACATCATCTGCCTCAGTTTGAAGTCTAAGTCTCTTCCAGTTCCCAAAGAAACCAACTACACGATCAAAGAAATTGCCAGCGACTACAAGGTGTAAACAACCATGATAAGTGGATAAATGTTGTTGAACCCTTCTCCAAAGAAAGGTACAGCATCATCAACGTTCCCCATTCGCTGCAATGAGAAGTTTAAAGATTACAATTCAAAAACCATACAGGGGAAGAAAAATATTAGCACAGATGCCTAGTTTGATAACACAGCAAAGTTAAAAATGGACCAAATATGATACAGGGCAATATGTTGTTTGTGAAATTTGGGGACTGGAGGTCAAGACAAGTTTCAGATCAGACAAACTACCAAGCAGGGATGGACTGAAGGGGGGAGGGTGGGGGCAGTCACCCCTGAAAATTTAAAATTACCATATATTTTAGATTTTTCTATTGAAAATCTGTTCTCCTCCCCCCCGGGGAATTTTATAAGTTCGTCCCCTCCTAAAATTTTAGAAGTCGCTCCCTTAGCATAAAAATACTAATGTTATGTCTAAGCATCCTGATTCTTTAAGAAAATCCAAAGTTCACCAAATAAGTGTCCACTCAAGAAGTTATCACTGAAAGCCAAAGCAGCTTTCTTCCTTTCTTGGAATGGAAATGAGGCAATAAGCCAGCTACAAGGCTAAAGCAGCTTCTTTCCATTTTTTGGTGGCTAATAGTGACAAACCAGATTAGAAAATCAAACTAGACACACTAACACTAGCATTTCACCTTACAAACCAAAACTGTAACATTTTGAAACAAATGAAGTTTTTTTTTTTTTTTGGCGTATGGCTAATGGTAACAGACAGACACTAAACCAGCACCACGTACACGTACTAACAGTATTATCTTCCCCCTCTAAACCAAAAAGGCTCAAACATTTTGAAACAGATTAAGAAGAATTGCTGCATTATTCCAATCACTTTGTCCATTACAAATGATATGTGAGATGCCAATCTAGTAATTGACAGGCCAAGCCATGTTTATCTTTCTTGCAATTTCTATAACCACTGAAATCACTGGATGTAATGTTGAACAGCTAAATAATGAAGTAGGAGAATTACCTTTTCAAATATGGTTTTTTACCATGAAGGCTAATGAGATTGAGAAAGTTGTAAGAAATTGGGGGAGCATATCGAGCAACCATCCTAGTAAACATGTTATCAGTTTTGATTACCAACACAAAATTAAACAAATTAATTAATTAAAAGGGAAAAAGGAAAGCCAAAAACAATAGATTTCCTAGGTAAACTTACGAGCATATCAGAGCAAGCTGACTGAGCTAGTCTGCCGTGGTGTTAATGAGTAAAACATTAACATTCCAACCTTGAACAAGGAATAATATGTGCAGATGCACATATACATCAAAGGTACAAAAGCAAAGGCCTGAAGAAAAAAGCAATCAGCAGAAAAGTGGGAAAAGAAGAGGATGATCCAGAAGAGAACACATTATGGAAATATCTAACAAAAGATACAATGTCAATGGCAGAAGTTATCAGTTGCATGCAATGGTGAGGCAATTTTGAAGTGGCAACATGCACAACGCAAGAAAGAAGAGAATTGCAGATTGCCAAGTAAATTTTTTCCAAGACCAAACTCCTAGCCCAATCAAGTAATCGAATCAAGTTTACAGAATCTCTATGAAACTACAAGTTGAATCTCTTTATAGGAGAAAAATGCAAAACTTTCACCTGTACAAGCACCTCCTCCTCCTTTACTGAATTTATAAGGATAGAGAAAAGAGACAGGTCAACTCCTCTCGGTAAAAGAGTAGCCTCAGCTAAAAGAATTGCTGCAGACATGATGCCGAGTATAACAGCCAAAATTTTCTTTAGTTGTTTCCTTAGGATGCATCGCCAAATAAATTCTGAAAAAAGAATTATCATTTGTGTTAAAACCAATTATAATACAACTTTTACTGGTGGATAGAAAAGGATTATATACATCCCTTAAGGACCCTGCACACATCCAAGAACCATAAAAATCACTGCTTTCTTTCAAAATACATTACTTATGAAATGAATATGACACATCCTTATAAACCAGAAAAAAACCAAGGAGATAATTAAGAGTGTTGATTTCAATTGATGACTCCAACAAATTTCTCAGAGAAATTGGAAGAAGTAAGAGAACAAAAGTTCTAGGGTCTCCCCAGAACTAAACATAAGCAAAGCATCATGAAGCAAGGAAAATACTGATTGTGCAACAAAAAATCAATAGAGGTCTACATACCTATTGTATCTAAGAGTTCCTGTCTTCCCAGAGCGACCAGGTCTGAAACTTGATACATATTTCCTGAAATGACATCAAATATGAACATTAATGATTGAGGAAAAGCAACTAGAATGTCATAAAACTAGAATAGACAGAAGAAAACAAGGTTAGAAGAAAACCATCCAGTTGAACTACGACGTTCGTAATTTTTTATTGTATCTTCAAGCTGAAGCCTCTGAGACATAGGTCATATACTCACTGCAAAGCCAACCATGTTCAGATATAAAGAAGCAAAAGTTTCAAATACAAAGCCAGAATCAAAGTTTAAATGCACTCAATTCAAATCTAGGAATGAGTTAACCCACAGGACATCTTTAAAATTATTACAAAAGCAAAGCATTAAAATAACAATTTCCAGAACACATAAAACAGTTTGAAGATGGTATATAACTTGGATTAAGTGAATAATATGGGTTAATAACAAATTAAAAGTGTAAATCGGCAACCAGTTTACCTTTTGTAACGATAATATTCTTCTCGAGCTAGCCTAAGATGACGCCTAAGTGTTGCCATTGTTTTCTCATCTGAATCATAGTCCATATCATTTTCTCCCAACTTACCACCTTGTGGCTTAAAGGACGGGTCTTCCCTAAGCTGGAGAATAAATGTAGCATATAAAGTCATGCACTATTCCCTACAAAAGATCCTTGTTCACAGAAAAGCTTGCAAATAAACACAGAAAATACCATTTGAGCCAACATATTATCAATGACATCCATGTATGGTCTCAAAGGATCACGCTTGGACATCTGGTTGGATGTTGCTTGGGCAACCTGATAAAGCAAATAAATAGTTAGACAAAACAATCCATTATGACTAAC